CAAGGATCTTACTCTGGGAGAGGCAGAAGTCAAATGAAGCCAGGCCAGAGTCAGCAAAGGTGGGCAGGGCAGGCAAGGACATGTTTAGAAGAAGTCATTTCAGGCGGGCACCAGGAACTTGGCTGGGGAGACTGGGTGGAGAGCAAGAGAGCCGGATTCATTTATTTAACTTTCACTGACCCCGAGAGAGGCCCAGTTACCTGGTTCTAGCGACTCACATGTGAATGCGAACAAATGCTTGGCCAAAGTCAAAAACACTTGGTGTTCAATAAATGTCAACCATTACTTTCAGGGCTGCAACTCCCTGGTCGCTCCTTGTCCCATATCCCAACTGTACTGACTTCTGTGTGGTTGTAAATGATAGGTAGGCATGCAAACTATTTTAGACAAAGGGAGGGCGTATTGGCTCTTAAAACTGTGGGAAGAGATGGTGTGTACCTGGGCCTCAGGGGCAGTGCGTGAGGCCAGACTCTCTTTTTTTCTGGCCATCTCCCACCTCATCTCCCATGCATTCTTCTGAGCGTCCATTTCCCCTAATGGTCTCCTCTATAACGAACGGAAACCAGGCCAGCAGCCAGGCCCGACCCCACACTCTCAGTCTCCTAGAGGAACTGAAGTTCCTGCGTCGAGAACTCTGACTGGCTCAGCGTAGGTAAGGTGCCTGGCTCTGATTGGCCCAGTGAGTTAGGTGCTCAACTCTGATCAGCCCAGTGTGGGTCAGGCACTTAGCCTTAGACCAATAAAAAGGTCATGTGAGACAAGATGGCAGCTCCCATTTGAACTGCGTGTGTGGGGGGGGGAGCGGGTGTTGCCGGCCGTCTGTGACGTCCGTGTCTCTCCATCTGTTGGACATGAATGCCTGTGATCTTGAGAACCATGATGATAATTAACGGATCAAATGATTAACTGAAGCCCTCCTAATGTGTCCATGTAAATAATGCACTGACAGAAAATTCTGTGGGGAAAATACATGAGGAAATAATGACCAAACAATTTCCAAATTTGACTACAGTAGGAACCAAATCCTGCATAATTACATTAAAAAAAAAAAAAGGAGTGCCATAGATAAGGAACAGTCTCAGGTGATGAGACAAAGAGAAACACAGTGACCCGAACAAGATGGCTGCTTGCTTCTCTCCTCTAACAGACCAGGGATGGGCTGGAGTCCTGGGTGTATGGACTGTCCTGCTCTGCTGTGTTCTACAAGGCTGTTCAGGAGATCAGCTTCCTTCTGTCTTGATGTCCTGCCATCCCTAGAGTGGTGTACACATCCACGTGTTCAAAACCAGCACACGTCGGGGGTATAGCTCAGGGGTAGAGCATTTGACTGCAAAACCAGCACACGTCATCACATCCACGTTCCAGCCCCTGGGAAAGGGAAAGATGAAGTGGGGAGCAAGCAATGGCCCCATAAAAATGTCATCTGGAACTTGCACCCATCACTTCCACTTGTATCTTATTGGTTAAAACTACAAGACTACAGGAAGCTTCCAGGGAGGCTGGGAAATGTCTCTTGCTTGGGTAGTCACATGCCCCACTCAATTCCAGTGGCTTCTGTTCGGACAGTGAACCCTGGGAACAGTTGGTCTTTGCCACAGGACCGCCTGTGGCCTGTAAGTATCTGTGTACATCCTTCTTTCCACACATAGGACCCACTTTCCACCTTCTTAAGAGAGGCAACCCAAAGTCCCACCCAATCACTGCATCCCGCTCTGAGAGTGGGATATCGGGGCTGTTCAGTCTCCTTCCTGAGGTGCAGATGTGGTCCTGCTGGACTGGTGGTCCGGAGTCTAAAAAGTAATCACCCATACCCCAGTTCCCACTCACTCCCACAATATTCAGTGTGGAATAGGAGCAGGAAAGAGTAGGAAAGAATAACCATCATCAAATCTCCTGGTAGGAAAAAGGGAAGAACAGGGAACACACAGCGGCTGCCAGTCCGTGCAGTTATCCATCCTGCCGGGCAAGAACTGTGAGGACTCCCTGGTACACACTCTGTCTTCCCTTTCTGCTCTGCGGGTAACCCCCTGTCCACTCTCTACAGGCGCCCCAGGCTTTGCCCTCTGGGAGCTTCTTCCTTGACTATCCTAACCTCGGCCACACATCTGAAGTGGGTTTTGGGGAGAATGCCCCTCCTTGGGGGCACATAGCTCTCTCAGCTCATTTCTGATGGTGGGGTTTTGGGGACCCAGGGGTTTCTTTCGGGATTAAACAATCACAGGATTTTACAGACCAGACTTTTGGCTTCTCTGGCTAGCCAATTCTGTGAAAAACTTAGAAACCTTCTGGTTTATTTGCTTTATATGCTTTGTCATAGTTCTTAAGCCTGACAACTCCCCTCCTTTAGCAACCAGGCTTCCCTGCCTGGCCCATCCCTGCTGCATCATTTCAATGGTGGCCACCTTGAGGCCCCAGAACAGTAGCCTGAGTGAGAAGGTAATCACCCTTCATCAGATCTTCCCCTGGGGGCTGATTCCCATTGCCAGTTCGAAAATCCTAATGGTAGGTAGCACAATCTGCTTCCCACGTTGTTTTGTTTTTGTTTTTTTAAGATTTTATTTATTGATTTGACACACAGAGAGAGAAGGAGACAGCAAGCCCAAGCAGGGGGAGTGGCAGGCAGGGGAGAAGCAGGCTCCCTGCTGAGCAAGGAGCCCCATGTGGGGCTTGATCCCAGGACCTTGGGATCGTGACCTGAGCTGAAGGCAGACGCTTAACCGACTGAGCCACCCAGGGGCCCCTCTGCTTCCCAGGTTATTGCAGGATGGAGCTTTACCAAATAATCTGCCACAGAGTAACAAGGGCCATCAGCTGTGTTTTCCCACTGACGTTGCCCAACTGCTAAGCCAAGGCCATGTATTTTATTTTATTACTATTTTTTAAGATTTTATTTATTTATTTGTCAGATAGCAAGAGAGAGAAAGCACATGTCTGTGTTTTCCCACTGACGTTGCCCAACTGCTAAGCCAAGGCCATGTATTTTATTTTATTACTATTTTTTAAGATTTTATTTATTTATTTGTCAGATAGCAAGAGAGAGAGAGAAAGCACAAGCAGGGGGAGCGGCAGGTAAAGGGAGAAGTAGGCAGAGGGAGAAGCAGGCTCCTGCTGAGCAAGGAGCCCGACGCGGGACTCGATCCCATGATCCCAGGACCCTGGGATCATGACCTGAGCTGAAGGCAGACACTTAACTGACTGAGCCACCCAGGCGTCCCAAGGTCATGTATTTTCGATGTTTTTTTGTCAAAGCTGCGTTTCACTCTCGGTACCAGTTTCTCTATTAGTTAGGTCTAGGTTAAGCTGCTGTAACAAAAATCCCAAAATACAATGACTCCAACATGACAGAATTCTCTTTTATTCTCACATAACAACTCAGAGTAGGCAGTTGTGCCAGGGCGAATAGGCGACTCGACTCCGCTGCATGAGTTCGACCAGGGTCCCAGGTGCTTTCTATCTTGTTGCTTCTCCATCCCCATGACCATAAACTACGCAGCCAGAGCTGCCCCACCTCATCCCAGCCTGCAGAGTGTAAAAGAAAAGGAGCAAAGGGCAATCCATCTCTTTACCAAAAATGTGATCCAGAAGTTTCCCACCTCACTTTGGGCCACATCCCGCTGACCAAAACTTCTGTGCTACAGGGGAATCTAGGAAGTAGGGTCTCTAGCTGAGCAGCCATGTAAGCAGTCATATTGGAATAGGGGTCACTTGTATTAAAGGAAGAAGGAGGGCGCCTGGGTGGCTCAGTCGTTAAGCGTCTGCCTTCGGCTCAGGTCATGATCCCAGGGTCCTGGGATCGAGTCCCACATCGGGCTGCCTGCTCGGCGGGAAGCCTGCTTCTCCCTCTCCCACTCCTCCTGCTTGTGTTCCTGCTCTCGCTCTCTCTCTCTCTCTCTCCCTCTGTCAAATAAATAAATAAAATCTTTAAAAAAAATAAAAAAATAAAGGAAGAAGGAGAGGGGCACCTGGGTGGCTCAGTCGGTTAAGGGTCTGCCTTCAGGTCATGATCTCCAGGTCCTGAGATTGAGCCCCACGTCGGGCCCCCTGCTCAGCGGGGAGTCTGCTTCTCTTTCGCCCTCTGCCCCTCCCCCCCAATTGTGTGCGCTCTCTCTAACAAAAAAAATTTTTTTTAAGGAAGCTCTCTCTAATAAATAAATAAAATCTTTTAAAAAAGAAAGAGAGAGAGAGAGAAAATAAATCCTGGAGAACAATTGATATCTCTGCCTCAAGGAGAAAGGCAAGCTATGAAGAGTGACGCAGACCATATCCCAACAGTAAGGGGGAATCCCACCTTATGTGGCGATTACCCCCCTGAAGATGGAGTTGCTTAGCCAATCTGGCTATGCCAGTGTTTTGTGTCCTGGGAACAGACTTTGCCCATTGTCCCCCAGGGACGTTCCGGGGAGGGACACTGAGGAGGACTCCCTGACTGTGGGCTATGCCACCATAGCAGCCCACCTCCCATTGGAGGGCTGGGATTGCCTGAAGGCTTGCACAATCACAGACACCTTTTGCAAAGCTTGGGAGTTCTTGTTTGTTAGTTTGTTGGTTTTGACAGTTGTTTTGCAACACGACTCAGATAGAATTCAGTTGAACTCTGATAGCTGGTAAACACCACCGAAAATTTTGCCCAGGCCCAGTCGTTGAACCTTCTGTCTCTTAGATCCAGGCTGGGGGGCTCTGCCCATCCTCTTAAGCCTCGGCATCTCCCTTGGCCCTTGGCCTTTGCTGGGGAGAGGGGGCTGAGTTCATCTGGTCTGCTCTGCTGCCCCTGCTCCCAGGCTGTGCTTCAAGACAGAGGCATTGGGTGAGTGACAAGGGTGGGAGTTTTGGGAAGGGCCACAGCAGCAGTGGGTCATGGAGTCTCCCAGTGCTTCCTATCAAATTGCCCTCTCTGAGTGACAGGGTCCTCCCTGTGCTGGAATGGGGCAAGCCTCTTCCTCAACACCTGCCACGGAATGTGATTCTGCTGGAAATATCACTGGATTCTCCTCTCTTCTCAGGGTGCAACGTAGAGAACATCTGCTACCCTCTGGGCGTCTGTGCGGAGCGGACCGCGATCCAGAAGGCCATCTCAGAAGGACACAGAGAATTCAGGGCAATTGCTATCTCCAGGTAAGGGGTGGGGAAGGCAGGTTGCAGCTGTATTCATCCATCTGTTCAGCCAACACTCACCACATGTGTTATTCATCTGTTCATTCACCTAACACATTTATTCTGTACTTCCTGTGTGCCAGGCACTGTCGGGCTTGGCTGAGTGCTGAGGAAAAGAGACAAATCAGAAATGGACTCGGCCCTCACTGAGCCCACAAAGCAGGTCAACAACCAAGGCACCTCTAACTCAAGGGCAGGTGTGGTTTTGGTTCTAACAACAGCACAAACTACGACAGGATGCCCATAAGATACAACGGAAAGGCAGCATAGGCACCTAAAGCTGGGGGCACCTAAAAATCACCTGGCATAGACTCCCTGGGCACTACCCCATTTTACAGATGAAGAAACTGAGGCCCAGGAAGGTTGAACAACTTCCCTGGGAATTCATGGCAAAGCTTACCAACCTAGATCTCTGGAGTCTCACTCTGGGCTCATTCTACAACACCATGCTGTGCCAGGAAATCAAACACCCTTCCCCACTCTCATTGAGCTGCCTCGGGATTCCTCACCGTGAGAGGTGACTACTACACTTGGCATCGCCCACCTCTTAAGTGCCAAGAAGCCGGCTATAAAGACAAGCTGGTGGGGTGACAACCAGGTAAACCTGGGTTACGATTCACACTAATCAGATTCCAGGCTGGGTCCTGGCTGAACAAAAGCATCAACTCTCTCTGCCTGCCCCAACATAAATATCCAAGTTCCCACATGTGGAACCTCACAGGACGCTCACTGAGTTCCTGTTGGCCCTGGACCCAGGCTCAGTGGCGTCGGGATTTGAGCATGTGAACGGGCTCTTTTACTAATTTGGACCCTGTTACGCGTCCGATTTAATGGTGAATTGCTCTTGTGTGTACCTTGGCATTGTCTGAGAGAGAGTTCTCTTTTATTATTTTTAAAGATTTTATTATTTATTTATTTATTTATTTGAGAGCTAGAGAGAGTGTGAGTTGGGGGAGGGACAGAGGAAGAGGGAGAGAGAATCTCAAGCAGACTTCCTGCTGAGCATGAAGCCCCATGCAGGGCTCGATCTCACGACCCTGAGATCATGACCTGAGCCGAAATCAAGATTCCAGGATGCTTAACCCACGAAGACCCTCAGGCACCCCTGAGAGAGAGTTTTCTTAGCAGATTAATGGTGCAGGGAGAATGCCACGGGAAATGTTTCATCTACCCAGCGAGCCACTGCATGGCTGACAAAGCATTGCTCTTTCAGGACCTCCAGGTGCCTGGGTTACGGATGGGGAGTGCACTGCCTCTCCCTCGTGGTGGTGCTGCAGGGCCTTGCGGGCAGAAATACAGGTAGCAGTAATTCAAGGACCTGACCTAGCACAACGCCCTGCAGGGTCTGGGTGATAGAAGCATTTCTTTAAAGATCCTAAACTTTGCCTCAGTCTGGTCCCGAAGTGGACCAGGTTATTGAGGGCTATTTTCCTGAGGCTATTTCCTGAGCCAAGGGGCGCTGACGGAGAAGGGCCCAGCTTCCCAGAGCCCTCCCTTGTCACCAGCGTCTGTCCTGGCTCCCCTTCGGCTTCGGGAGGAATAAATGAGGCCATGCTGAGAACATTTTGTGCAGATGAGCAGAGCCCAGGATGTGGATTACACTTAATTTAAAAGTGGGGCAGGGGGAAATAATTCAAATACAAAGCTGATCCAAGAAAATAATATTCTGGGTGAAAAAGAGGCCAAAGTCAACAAAAAGATAATGGCATGGTAGCTTTGCTCTGTTTAGAATGTTCTAAATGAAAGGCTTTTTCTCCTGGTCATTATCTGCTTTTAAGAAGAACTGGGTATTGCTAGCGATGATTAGCAAATGTCCTTATTTACATAAAACCTGCATTTTTCTAGCAGCCGACTGCTCTGCTCCAGGGGTCCAGCCTGCACCAGAGTCCCTGGCTAGCAAGACAGCCATTACTGCACTAATGACTTGTTAAATTAGGAGGTGGGTTTACAGGAGGAGTGAAAAGTGCCAGCTCCCTTGTTAACACTGATGGGTGGGAACAGTTTCAGAGAACCCCTTCGAGATCTCCAGGATGCAGAGTGTGGAGCCCAGGATGGGGTTTTGCTAATGGGGAGCTAAGCTTGTCCTGGGTGGGGGGGGCAGTGTAGGCATCAAAGGCGATCGGTTTCCAGCCCATTGTTCCGATGAGGATGGTCCCAGCGTGTGAGCAGAATCAGCACAGAGCACAGAGCACAGAAACTATCGGTCCCAGCACAAGGCAGGAGAGGTAGATGTCCTGCTGCACCCAGTGTGTTCTGGGATGCGTCTTCTCCGAAGCTTTTGATTCTTACTCTCGGTGGGAAGGTTGAGTAATGGTTAAAAACCCTGGCTCCAGGGTTAGTGAGGCCTGGTTTCAAATCCTGCGCCGCCATTGCCCGAGGATCTGAGCTCGGCTTTTCGTCCATAGCTCGGAGGAGAGTAACACCTACCCTCTGGGCTGTTGTGAGGATGCAGGAAGTGATTTCTATACAGGTCATGGCTCAGAGTATGCGACAAATTAAAATTATTGTTTTCACCTTATCCCTATTACTTTTGCAAATTGCAAAACTACCAAAGGCAGAGTCCACAGATCCTGGGTTCAGATCCTGATCCTGTCACTTAGTAGCTCTGTGACCTTGGGCAGGTCATGTCATCTTTCACAACCTATGACATGAGGATGATAAGAGCCCCTACCTTATGGGGTTGTTAGGGGATTAAATGAGTTCATGCCCCTAAGGTCCTTAGCGCGGTGCCTGGCACAGAGAAGTGTAATGTACGGGTAAACCAGCACTGTCATCAGGCTATGCGGCCTGGAAGGGATTTCTTGTGACTTTTGAAGCCTGAGCCAAATCCAGCTTCCCAGTGGAATGCATGTTCACCCCACCCCCTTGAAGACCCTAATGCAGGTCACCTTGTCCAGGGAACTGTCCTTTGGACAGTTGGCCATGCATATCACAAGATTGAGAAAGGAAGTGGCGAGCTTGGCAGGGGCCAGATATACAGGGCCTTATAGGTCATGGAAGGGAGGTTGAATTTCACTCAGAGCACCTCTACCATGGTCTTTTTTTTTGGTAAAGATTTATTTATTTATTTGGGGGGGTAAGGCAGAGGGAGAGGGAGAAGGAGAGGGGGAGAATCTGAAGCAGACTACCCAATGAGTGTGGAATCCGACATGGGGCTCGATCCCTGAGCCCAAATCAGGAGTCAGACACTTAACCGACTGAACCACTTAGGTGCCCCCAACCCTCTCCCATGGTCTTAACCACAGCCTGCCTGTATTGGAGCATTAACATGCAGACTTCATCTCCCCTTCCAGACAGTAGATCCCTGAAGGCAGAGATTCTCTGATTGGTCTTTGTTGCTCCTTTCCCATGCCTGCCTGGCATGGGTCAACATGTGTAGAAAAAGGTAAAAAATAACACAGAATCCAGCCTCCAAAGAGCTTATGGAAGGCTCTGGCTACAACACCTGTCACCTGGTAATCATACGGGTTAATTTGGCTCAGTGTGCATCCTAGGGCACAGGTCCCCACCCTCTCACGTCCCTGTGGGCTTTTGTTCTGAAGCTGGGAGCATGCTCAGAAAGGACCCACCTTTCCATGGAGCAGAACCTTTCTTTGGAACCCCACATATAAAAGGGAGTTATGAGGATTCAATAAAATAACACACCATCACTGTCTCTCCCCTCAGCAGCTTTATGCAATTCATACCATCTGTGTCTATCTCCACTTGATGCATCGTTGGTTGGTTGGTTGGTTGGTTGGTTGGTTGGTTGATTATCTGGCTCCTCTCACTAGTCAAAAACTCCTGAGTGCAATGAGTTTTGTCTGTTTTGCTCATTGCTGTATCCCCAGCACCAACAGTGCCTGGCATAATGCACCAATAAATATTTGTCAATTAAAATGAGATAATTCATTTAAGTGCTTTGCAGGATGCCTGGAACCTTCCAGGCACATATTGAATAATATGATAATCATTGCCAACATATATATGATAAGTTAATTTTAAATTATTATGTATAAGTTATATGCAATAAATCTATATATGATGAGGTATTAAAATCAAGACTGGGCTGGTTTGTGTGAAGGAACAAGTGCCCAGTAGTATATAGGCAGTAGTGATATGTGTCTAACACTCTAAAGTTTACAAAGCCCTTTGCACACTTTACCTTTTATCGTCTAACATTCCTGCAAAGTCGGTGACATGATTCCCTACATTTTACAGGCAAAGAAGTATGCATTGGATGGGTTAAAGTAACTTGGTTAAAGTCACACATGCTTAGCAAAACGAGGAGCTGACCAAAAACCAGAGTTGAAGTCCTGTGTTCTTGCAGAGATCTCCCAGAGCTGTGGGTCTAGAAGAGCAAGGACGACGGTGGCAGTGGGCATAACTGCTGGTGCTCCAGCAGGCTTGGTGGTTCCTACTGTTGGTTTTTTTTAAAGATTTTATTTATTTATTTGACAGAGAGAGACACAGCGAGAGAGGAAACACAAGCAGGGGGAGTGTGAGAGGGAGAAGCAGGCTTCCCACGGAGCAGGGAGCTGGATGCGGGGCTGGATCCCAGGACCCTGGGATCATGACCTGAGCTGAAGGACGATGCTTAATGACTGAGCCACCCAGGGCGCCCCCTGGTGGCTCCTACTGTTAAATTCACCTTCTTTGAGCACCATCCCCTCATCCTGCTCAAAGCAGGAGGACTACCTGTGGGTGCCTCCATTCTGAGAGGCAAACCCTTGGCTGTAAGCATCTCTTCTCTAGACTTCTCAGATGCAAGGAGCCCGTTTTTCTTTTTGACTCACAGGTCTTATTTTTTCATGCCACAGGGCCTTTGCACATACTATTTCCCTTGCCTGCAGCACAGAAAAAACACTGGGCTTCAGTCTGGCACCTCTGTTAGTGACTTCATTTCACTGAAGCTGTTTTCTTGCAGATAAAATGGTCATTCTGACACTCAGGTTGCACTGAGAATTCAAATAATGGATATCGTGTGCCTGGTACAGATCTTGGCACACAGTAGCTGCTCACTAATGGTGACTTAGGAACTCTACGCGTCCTCCAAGGACAGGACCAAATGTCATCTCCTCCACAAAATACTCTCTTATGTTCCTCAGTCAGGGATTGTCTCCTCATACTGTACTTTCTAATCGCATTTTGTTTAAAATGATAACTCATCTAGTTGTCTACTTGTCCACCGGGCTGAGCAAACTCCTGAAGGCCAGAGACATATTGCTCTTAACGTATGTATCCCTGGAATGTGGGTGACAGTAAGTGCTCCCTAAACATTTCCCGAACACACTGATGAAAACGACACGCCTCCCCGTGGCCTTGCCCCTTGGAAGTGTGGAGAGCCACCTTGGGTTTCTTCTGAGCCTCTGTGATACCATGTGTCTGTGAATCGGAAACTGCCTGGTGGGGTTTGACTTCATTTGGAACTGGGCAGGGACTCAGGGCCTGAATCTCAGCAACTGTCCTCATGCCCCAGGAGAGACTGATCATGTCCGATGTTCTGTCTCCACAGTGACCTGCAAGATGACTTTATCTCACCCTGCGGAGCCTGCAGGCAAGTCATGAGAGAGGTAAGTACCTTGCCTTTCTGGGAAAGGTAAACCAGGTGCCTCCCTGCCATCCCAGGCCGTGGGAGCAAAGCCAGGCTGCCAGCCAGGACACATAGCTACTGTCCTGCATGCCCCATTGGCTGACATCTAAGCCTGCCCAAGCTTGCATGAATCACTAGAAATTATTCTTTCATACAACAGCTACTGGAGTGAATGTCTACTGTGTGCTGAGGACTGAGCTAGCTCTGGGGAGACAGCAGTGAACAGACAAGCCAGGCCTTGTTCTCATAGTTCACAGTCTAGTACAAGAGACAGACAACAAACAAGGAGCAAAATAGAGTTTTGGGGAGTGCTGAGGGCTATGGAGAAAAGAGTGCAGAAAAAGGAGTCAGAGGTCAGCAAACTTTGGTCTAGGGCAAATCCAGCTGCACCCCCTTACTTTTGTAAATAAAGTTTTATTGGCACACAGCCATGCCCATTCTTTCACATTTTGTCTATAGCCGCTTTGGCCCTAGGACAGCAGCACTGAACAGTTATAACGAAGCCCTGTGGCCTGAAGAGCCGAAAATAGTTCCTACCTGGCCCTTTACAGAAAAACAGTTTACCAACCACTGCTTTAGGTGGTCAGGAAGGGCCTGGCTTTGAGGATGACATTGGAGCAGAGATATAAATAATAAAAAATGAGGCAGACAAAGGTCTAGAGGAGATTTCCAGGCAAAGGGCCCGGCATGTTTAATGCCCATACCCTTGGTGAGTTTGATTAAGTCATAAGAGGGCCAAAGAGGCTAGAACACAGTGACTAAGGGGGAGAAATGACAGGACAGGGCCTTATAGGCCATGGGACAGAGGGTACATTGTGTTCCAAGAACAAAGCGAGCTGAATTGTACCCTTAAAAATGGTGAAAAGCGGCTTCAATGAGTTCTTAATCTGGACTCGGTGGTAAGTGTTTTGTGCATATATGTACATTTTGGGGAGGGGAGTGTCAGCTTTCACAGACTAAGAGGTCTGTGTCCTCCAGAGTCCCCAAAAGGTTAAAGCCACCAGCCTGGAGAGTCCCACAGGCCCTTGAGCTTCAATATGACATCATCAGCTCTTCTAAATATGGTATCTCATTTCATCTCCACCCCAGCCTACCAGGGAAGTGGGGGGTCGTTACCCCCACTTCCCAGAGAAGTAAAATGAACTGCCGAAGGACAAGCAGCCAGATAGTGGCGAGCTGGGGTTCATGGTCAGTTCAGGCTGACTGCTTCTCATGGCCGCTTCCCTGCCTTTATGGGTCTAGAAATGAGACCGAGTCTCTTCAGCCCTAGAGGAGATATAATGGTGCTTTGCAGAATAGGAGCGGCTGGTTTCCTGGAGGCTTCTGCTTTTGGCATTGTTTACATCCGGGGGAGCGGGGGAGTCCTTTCCTTTGCTTTTGTGCCCTGGGGTTTCAAAGCATCTGCAGAACATGCAGACAGCTCCATTGTTTTTCTGCTTCTTGCCAGGCCTGCAAACGAGACACAGTTATAGCAGAACGCGGTTCCCCAGTTAGATGCACATGCCACCATAAAGGCACTGAATTCACAGTATGGGCTCATCTCGAGTTAGAGGGGCAGAAATGGCTGCCCAGCACCTTGTCATGTCCAAGGCCAAGTGAGGAAACCACATCAGGGTGCCAACTCCCTGGCTCCGGAGGCCTCAGCTTGGGCCAATTGCTCATTGCTGTTTTCCCCAAAGAGATCAGATATTGGCAAACGAGAGAAGGTGAATGAAAAAGCTGAAGGAGGGAGAGGCAAAACTGGAACCAAAAGGCAAATAACGAGACATGAAGCTTGGGGGCTGGGGACGTGGCACTCAGACTCACCACCACTCAGATTTCATCCATATCCTCAGGCAGAGTCTGCCAAGCAGAAAAATCTCCTTCCTTAAAGCATTAATTAAAAAAAACCAAAAAACAAAAAAAAATCCAGAGACTGATCGTGCCCGGTAATAATGTGGTGATTCAGACAGAAGCGTGGAAGGCCAGCAGCTGCAAACCTGAGCGGTCACCACCAGTCAGTCAGAACGGCTTCCATTAACTGAGCACCTGCTATGTGCCAGGCACTGCGTACAGGTGCCTTCTGTCCATCACAACACATGGCCGGGCAGAACCCGGGTTTGCTGACTCCAGCTCTGGGGCTCTGCATCACGCACAGCTGTCTTGCTGCCTGGTACACTCTTCTAAAGTCATTTCACACTTCAAGACACTGAGCCCCAGAGAGTCGAATCATTTGCCCAAGATCAAACACCAAGCAAGTTTTAGCTCCTGAGAGTGGAAGAGAAAAACAGGGAGACAGATCTGGGCTAAAATTTCTTTTTTGCTGGCTTTGCCCTCTTAAGCCTAAAATGGGGGTAATGATAGCATGTATCTCAAAGGGCAGGGAATAAAATCATGCATGGGCAATACGTGGTGTGTAGTGAGGCGGGCGTGCACTTGCTCGTGCTTGGGAAGAGTGGAGGAGGTACTGGAAGGAAGCAGCGTTTTAGTTGTTTTTGTCACAGTAGGAGGAGGTCTGGCCCTGGGGGTTGGATACTGTTCCTATAAAGCCCCGGGTGAGTCTCATCACAGAAGAGAGCGCTTACTGCCCTTTCACAAAGTGCTGAGCGCTGTGCTAATTGCTCGACGGGCGTTCTTGTATTGGCTCTGTCCTCAAGCTCGCTGGGCCAGGTATGGTTATTGCCGTCCCCACTTCCCAGATGAGCAAACTGAGGCGCAGAGAGGACCATTAGACAGAGCCAGACTCAAATCCAGGTCATTCCTAACTCCTCTGGCACACTGCCTCCCTCATACTGGCTTTGCTTCTCTTCTAGTTTGGCACCAACTGGTCTGTCTACATGACCAAGCCGGATGGCACGTATGTTGTCAGGACAGTCCTGGAGCTGCTTCCTGCCCCCTTCGGATCCTTAGGCTGGCATAAGATCCAGTGAAGGTCGGAAAAGGCCCACTGCATGGAAGAGCCTGAGTTTCCACGTGTGCTTAAGGGGACAGCTGCCTGGAGAACTTCACGAAGATGTTCTCACAGACCTGGGGACATCTGCCAAACGGGCAGGGCTGGCAGAGATGGCTTTTCCAAATTACACTCGAACACGGCGATCTTCACTGAAGTGATAAAGTGTTTCATTCCGTCCTGGGCCATCATCCCTCCCGGCAGCCCACCTTGTCCTTCCTGGGGCAGGAGCACCCATCCCTTCCTTTCCTTCCTGCAGGCCCTCCATAAAATTCCAGCCAAGTCTGGACCGCTTCCCCATCAGCCTTCCCAAGGTTCTATCCTGTTCTGAGCAACTTTTCTAATTATAGACATCACAGAACACCCGGATTTGGGAGTGTTCATTTTGCTCTGTCTCTATTATTGTTCACAACTCTAAGAATGACGGGGTGATTTGTCTTTATAGAAAGACCTGGACACTTTCTGCTAGGAGAAAGTGGAACTGCGTACCCTTTGGTATGGAGAACTGAGTTTTTAGGTGTCTTGCTCCTGCGGATGGGAGACCCCTCTGGGTGGGGCCAAACTGCCAATGGCCATTTCTAGAGTTTGTTTTGGGCTCAGGGTAGACCTGAGCACCGGATGCTGTCCACCTCTCCACAGTTGTATCTGAGAGATTCCCAAGTATAAAGAAAGGGGAAAGGCAGGAGTTTGTCTAGACAGGGTAAAAATGTATCTCTGAAAACCGACCGTGTGCTGAGTACTTTCGCGTGGATTCTTTTTATTTAAAGTGCCCAGCAGCTCAGTGAAGTGGGTATCTCCCCCTTCTTACAGATGAGGGCACTGGACTTCAGAGAGGTTGAGTGACTTGCTCTAGGACTGTGGCAAAGCTCAGACCCGAACCCAGGTCTCAGAACTCCCACTGTGGTCTAGAAACTGCATGATTTTTGCCATGAGCTGTGCTAAGGTGTGTAACACATATGAAGCCTTACATGAATCCTCACTCATCAAGCTCGAAGTACATTGTCCTCATTTTACCAATGAGCAAATCGAAGCTCAGAGAGGTAAAGTCACTTGCCCAAGGTCACACAGCTAAGATGCAGCAGAGCTGGAATTGGAATCAGGTCTGTTTGATTCCAAATGGTTTTTTGTTTTTGTTTTTTTTTCCCATTCTCCTGTAGTTGATGTTTGGCTGCCTTTATATCTTTTACATGGCAAATACTGCAAAGTGAAAGATGTATAAGAAATAGTCTCTGCCCCTGAGGAACTAACTCACAGTCTGACAAGAAGAGAGGTGTAAACAGGTCAAGTGCCAGAAATACACACTGTGATCCAGGCAAGTACGAAGTGCAAGGTGGGCACAGTGGAGGTGCCATGCTGCCTTCTAGGGTGTGAGGAGAGTCAGGAAGGGGACTGTCTCATTGATGCATTGGTTATCAAACATGGTCCATCTGTCTGTCTGTCTTTCTGCCTCTCTCTCACACACACACACACACAATTAGGAAGGTGAGGACTGAATAAGGGAAGGAGCCAGGCTGGCCCTCTAAAAGGAGCCGATGGCTTTGGGTGTCCTCCCTGGAAGTTGGCCTTGGGACCAGCCTCACTGGTTGGGGTAAAAAGAGAGCATAGATTTCCTCTTTCCTAGGCAAGCAAGTTGCTGGGGACACAGGAAGTGGACAGGTAAGTCACCCCTTCCCTGTGAGTCCTTTCTACTCAGATCCAGAGCACACGTAGGTGTTGCTGTCTGGCTTTTCCACAATACACCCAGACCTCCCTGCCGCCATCTTGGGAGGCAGGAAGGAAGATGGTCCCAAGCATTGCTGCACAGCACAAAAGTCGACTCTGCCTTTCTTTAGAAATGGTCGATGGGGTTCTCAATGAAGTGGGATGGGGAAAGAAAAAGCTTGAAAGAAAATGCACCAAGATGTTAATTAACATCACTTAAAATTCTGGTCGATGGGAATCTCAATTCGTATTTGTTTTCTTTGTACGTATCTGAATTTTCTAAATTTCCAAAACGTTTTTAAAAACTTAACAAGAAAAAAAATGAGAGAGCACAATGGGTTTCAACTTTCAGACAGCCTCCTAACTGTGTGGCTTTGGGCAAGTTGTTTGATGACTCTGAGACTCAATTTCCTCATCTACAAAACAAGGAGATGATAGTGTCCACCCCATAGAATTGTTGTGCAGATTGAATGAAATCATGAGCCCAGTGGTGGACCCTCAGTAAGCTCTTTTGATAAAATCAGTCATTACTTTTATTAAAGGTGACAAATGTTGGGCCTTGGAGGATGTGATTTGATTTTTACCAACAAGCCCATCTATCCATTCCTTTAACAGTTGTTGATCTGATGCCTACTGTGTTCTAGGCTGGGGCCAGACCCTGAGAACACAGCGGTGAATAAGACAGGTAAAATTCCTGCCCACACAGAGCCCTCAGTCTACCCGTGGGAAAATGAGATCTGAAGATTATAGTACTTCATGACAAGTGTCACCGAGGGGAAGACAGCGCTCTGGGAGGAAAGTAGCAGGAGTGGAGCTTGCCTGAATGGGAAGGCTACGCTGAGGAGGGGTGTTGCAGCTAGACCACGAGAAGGGTCATCGCACTAGGGAACAGAGCTTGGGGAGGGGCAAAGAATGAGGACTACCTGAGGCACTAAGCCCAGTGTCCTTATGCTTTGTGGAAACAGACTGGGGAAGGCAATCCTCAAAGATCCCAGAATTATTTGAACAATGTCCGCTTGCAAGAACAGTACTCATTTGGCTAGAGAGAGGAAGGCATGTTTGTTTAAAATAAAACAAAAAATGTTTTAATTCTGTGTCCCCTGTTCTGAGGGCCTATAATTTCAGAGTAGCACGTGCTGTGTTGTTCAGAGCTGTCTGTTTTTTAGGGCTCTAAAGCAGAGTCCCAGATTCCCAAGGAAAAAAATAGAAGCATGTATGTTTCTGCTGCTCTTGCCAGCCACTGCTAATTTCTTAGGTAAAATAGAAGATTTCAGGATTTCCTTTTAGCAGGGAGGAAAGCACAACTATAATTGGCAGGCACTAGGGGTACTTTGGGTGCCTATGTTAGAAATGAGGCTAGAAAGTGCTGTTGAAGAATAAATAATGGAATGGCCCAGTCTCTTGAACACGCTTAATATTTTGTCTATGATCACAGGCACAGAAACAAGCATGGAAGGAACATCCAATCTGTTAACATTGTTTTTGAGGGGTAGGGCAAGGGAAAATTAAGGGGAGGGGGGATTAAAACCTCGATGACTGAGCAGGAAAAAATAGGGCATAATAATTGCATTACCTACCTATTGCCATGTAACAAATTATGCCAAAATTTAGCAGCTTAGGACAACCAAAATGTATTATGTCACAGTTTCTGTAGGTCAGGACTCTGGGCAGAGCTGGGTCACCTGGCTCAAGGTCTCGTACAAGGCTGTAGTTAAGATGTCAGCTGGGGCTGTGGTCCCACTTGAAGGCTTGACTGGGGAATGGTCCACTTCAAAGCACACTCATGTCGTGTTGCAGGACCCAGTTCCTATGGACGGCTGCTGTTACTACTCGTTGCTACATGGGCCTCTCTGCAGGGCAGCTTACAACACAGCAGCTGCCTCCCCACAGAAAAAGTGGGCAAGACAGCAGGAGAGAGTGAACAAGACTCTTTGTAACCCAACCACAAAGGTGACATCCCATCACTTTGGCCGAATTCTATTCCTTAAGGGCAAGCCACTAAGGTCTAGCCCACAGTCAAGGGGAGGGGACCACACAAAGGCACGTCACTCTAAAGTTGTAAAAATAGAAGCGACTTGAGGAGAAGGAACAGAAAAAAAAAACATAGGCAAGAATGGCGGGAGGGTCAGGAAGCAGGCCTGGCCCTGGTGAGGGGTTGACCTTATTGTGAAGGGCAGCCACCAGTTTCAGGCATGGGGTGTGACATGGTCAGCTTTGCGCTTTAAATAGCTCACCCTTCCAAATCAGGAGATACTAGAGAGCTGAAGGAAACTATAGGAGAAATACTAAAATAGTGAAGTATCATTGACTCTGGGCTTACAGGGAGTTGGAACAGAAGATTGCTGTTTTTCATGATGAGCCTAACCATATATACCATTAGTGTTTTCTAAACTAGATACTCATATTACTTTTATTTAAAATAATTTTTAACTAAAAAAAAAATGGGAAGGGTATATAAACAAAGAAGCCATAGAAAAGAAATTCAGTTAGCAATCCTGTAATGCAAATGCTACAGAGCAAATGCAGTAGTTTGTCCTGCTGGGGGAGGTGGGGGCGGGGGTGGAGGTGGGCAGTGAGCTATTTGACATTCTTTTTTTTTTTTTAAGATTTTATTTATTTATTTGACAGAGATAGCGAGAGCAGGAGCACAAGCAGCGGGAGTGGGAGAGGGAGAACAGGCTTCCCGCTGAGCAGGTAGCCTGATGTGGGACTCGATCCCAGGACCCTGGGATCATGACCTGAGCTGAAGGCAGACACTTAACGACTGAGCCACTCAGGCGCCCCTCAGGATTCTTTTTTTTTTCCTTAAGATTTTATTTATTTGACAGAGAGAGCACAAGCAGAGGGAGAGGGAGAAGCAGGCTCCCCACTGAGCAGGGAGATGCGGAACTCAATCCCAGGACCCTGAGATCATGACCTGAGCCGAAGGCAGCCGCTTAACCGACTAAGCCACCCAGGCGTCCCGCTATTTGACATTCTGAACTGCTTCCTTCCGGCTCCTCTCCACCCCTTCCCTCCTTCCCAGGAAGAGTGAGTCCTGTGATTGGAAATTTAAAAGGATAGCTCAGCCCCTTCCCCTCTCAACCCCCTTGGGAGCAAGGCAGCCCACAGAGGGCTTGCTTTCCCAGATGGCTGTCTGGCAAAAGGCTAGAGATCCAGCAGGCCCCATGCTGGGTGCTGAGGACCTAAAGTTTCAAAAATCACAATCCCTGTCCTAACAGAACTAACAGTTTAGAGGAAGAGACAGAAAGGAAGCATCCACCCCAGTCTAGGAAAGGTCAAGGAAGTCTTCCTGGACTAGGTGATCTTACCTATGAATGGGGATTCTTTCAAAGAGGTAAATCAAGACAGAGGCACCAGCATGATGCTTGGGACGTCTGCAAGTAACTCAGTATTGCTGGACCATAAAGGGCAAGGAAGGGGGACAGCAAGAAAGATGCCAGGGACAAATAGGGACTTGCTGTGCCAGGCTAAGGAGGTTGGGCAAAGGGCAAGGACAAAGAGCCTGCAAAGGACTGTACCAGCAGGTGACATGGCCATGCTTCTACTTTGAGTTATCACTGCAGGGCAGTGAATTTATGGGATGGCTTGAGCCACAGATTGTCTGAATTTCTCAGCAACACACCATCTCCCTAATCCACCGCCACGTTTTCCTCCATCGTGGCCAG